TGAGATTGAGAAAATGGTTTTATGGTCTTCAGAGTGAAGTAAGATTTAATAAAATTGGTGTCAACAAGAATAACAAACGGAGTCACTTTCAAATATATGTTTTACATTACCTTCTGAATCCAGTTTTATCACAAATTTTACATTTTTTATCAAATTTTATCACAATTATACAAAGTGTGTATCTAATCGTATTCCATTCCTTCATCTAAGGCAATCACGCTCTCGAATTACTGATCTCAGAATGACAAATTGTTGCTAGGGCTTTCGACCGAATTTGCGTTACGAGTTTCGTGGGTTAAGGTTAACTCTAGAGTTTTTCGGTTTGTACAAGTTAAAGCATTATTTTCTCTAGGTTTTGACAGCTTTTATATGCTTATCTGCTTGTAGTTTTGATACCACCGACGTGTTCACGCAGTGGTCTCTCTTGGTCCTTTAGCCCTTGTGTCGAGTCTTCGTTTTTGTTAATTTCTTGAATTATTGAAGGTCAGGGAATAGAAGTAACGTACTCGAATTTGTGAGAGCACGTAAAATAGCGTTCATTTCTCAAATCCACATCTTTATAATTTTCAGAAAAAATAAGCAAGCAATTAAAATACATTTACATACCATTGTTAAATTGATGTCTATAATGTCTGCATTTACTCTCATCATAGATCCTCACAAATATTTTGGAATAGTTACGGTACATGATTTGTTGAAATGTAAGGGTAAAATACGTAATCTTATAAGATAACCTATAACTGTTGAGCAATCAAGCTGCAGTGATGTATATTTATATTATTGAATCCATCTGTGGTCAAAGAAGATTAATTTATTCTACAATAATTTATAACTTCCTACATCCAAATTGAAACTAGTCTGTACTAATTTTAATGAAACAATTAAACTAATAATAATATAAGGATGATTGATGGTTAATTCTCTAAATTGGATTTCGTCAACTATAAGTTCTGATTCATTGAAATATTGAAATATTATATTCGACCATGGAGACGTATACAGTTTCCATGTTATCGACCATGGTACTGTAGGTGACGAAGATAACCCGCACGTGAATATCTTTTTTTATAAAAAGGGATAAATTAATTTTAAAGAAAATGAATACTGTTTTACGATAAAAAAGTATTGCTATTTTGTTCGTAAATGTACATTTTCAAAGTTGAGTGAATAACGTTGAATTTCCTATCTTGAAAAAAAAAATATATTGTGACGGTAAACGTCAAATTAGCGCTAATAATCTAACCTAATTGCTGCCTGCGGGGGCAGCACCTACCGGGGAGACGAAAAACGTAACGAAGGAATTCGGCACGCGAGCAGACGGAACGCGCGCGATTGAAATTGAACCAGTGAAGCACTGACCATCATCACGCTCACCCGCAATTACGACGCTAATTACCGATACGCGAGCCAGAGATCGAACTATACAATCGGAGTGTCCGAATTAGAGCCGAACACCAGCGACCGTTACCACCGAGTGTTGACTTGACCCAGCTGAAAGCCATTGTACCGGCGGCATCGAACAGTGTGTGTGAGGTTTCGCCATCGAGGGTGAAGCCACGTGCGCGCGAGTTCGCGATCCGCGACACGAACTAACAAACAGACCGCTTTCCCGCAGTGCGACTTTTTGCCGTCATCTTCGTGCGTCTGCCGAATAAAGGTAAGCTGGCCAGCTTCATTTCGCGGTCGCGATACGATTGCATGTGTAACGACTAATTTCCCGCGGCCGAAGCGTGCATGTAGTAGCTCTTCGAACAAAGAGCAGCGAGCGTCCCGACACTGCATGTTGTTGTCGAGCGAGCGCCGATGTAAATGTAAACACGCGGGCCGATCTAATGTAGCATTTGATAAAGAATAAATGTGAGTAAGTGAGATTGTTACACACACGCACACACACTTAGAATGATTTTCAAGGTCATTTGAAGGTCACAGTGATTTTTTGCATAGGAACCCCTATTTTTGATTCCGGATTTGGAAATAACGAGAAATTCTACGTTTAGATAAGGTATTATGTGTGGGGTTTGATTGATGATGATGTTCCCGCATATATTTAATATAAATAATTAAATAATGAATATAAAAACTGAATTTAATATTTTGACTGTTTGCGTAGTTCTTTAGATTTTAATTTTTTTGCACATCATGGACAATATTGTGTCGCTTGCACGCCATTTTCATTCGTCTTTCTAAATAGTAAATTATGAATTTGTATGATAATTTTATTACATTATCTGTACAACCAACAAACGCTAGAGAGTTCGTTTTTATTATTTTTTGAACAATGAACTGCATACTATCTCTAGTCATGCCATTATTACACTCAATTATAAAGGTCACACAATTTTCAACCATCTTAAATAATTCAAAAACATTGTCGCTAGACTTAATTAAGCCACCAAAACTCTCTCTAGCATTTGTAAGTTGATGGCATGCAGCATCACTGGAGAACGACTCCAAATGCAGATTGCAATTTTCGCACTCGTTGTCCAAATGTCGCGTCTCCCAATCTAAAGAAGATAATTGATTCATTTTTTGTTGTCATTCAAAATCAAAGTAATTGCCAACATTTAGTTTTTACTAAATTCAAAACAGGTGACAATTACTAACAAGACTATATTTAATATAAACAAAAAATAATTATAATTATTGTAAATTTTTATGTTCAAAATCTATGCTTTTTATACAATTGAATTATGGCTTTCGTAACAATATTTTTCTATTAAAAAGATAACACAGGCCGACAAAAAATTTTACCAAGAACCCGAGTATAGTTTTCCGAAGGTTTTTTGCGCGCTGAATCCGAATCCGAGGTCAGAATTACTCTGGGGGCTCCGGTTTTCGAGATATCCTAACCTTCAAGTGCAAAAAACGCGATTTTTGCCTATATTTGAGGTTATGTAGCAAAGAAAAGAAATTTTTTTTCAAAAAACGGTATACATCAAATTAAAGTATGAGTTTTCTTCTTTCAAATGCCGTTGAGTATGCTCAGATATCTTTTTTTTTCACGAAGTTACACAAATTTGAAAATTTCAAATTTTATGAATTTAAAAAGCACCACACCATTCAGCCCAAGCTATCTAACAAGTAACCATAGTAAAGAGCCACTCACCAATTTAAACCAAACTTGGAAATATGACAAAACACTAAAAAATATTGTGAGCATCGTGCTTCTATTTACAAAATGCTCTCTTACGGGTAGAAACCACCCCTGCCAACCCCTAAACAAGCTCACTCATATAACCCTGGGTAGAGCAAGTTTAATTAACTGCTTTTTGATAAAAAAACTCATTTTCTAATCACAGGTATGCGTACTAGTATGATCTAGATAGGCCTCATCTCCAAATACCTCCTCAACCCTTTAAAACCAGCCCTCCCAACCGCGTACAAAAAATAAGCTGCGTATGTCTATCTGTGATTAATTCCTTCATCGAATTTCACATGATTAAAATAGCTTACCCAGGGTTCTATGATTAGCCTGCCCAAGGGTTTTTAAGGGTTGTACATGTATACAGGGATAAGGCATATCCAGGTTAAGATGTGTATGTCTATTTGTGATTAAAAAATTAATTTTTTCATCAAAAAGTATTTAATTAAACTTGGTGTAACTAGGGTTACGTATATAAGCCTGCAAGGGGTAGATAGGGGTGGCTTTTAACCCTTTTCGGCATACATTTTTCTATTGACTATTCTAGCTTAAAATTTCTTACTCGGGGGTTTTCGGGGTCGCTGAATACGAATCTACAGTCAGAATTTTCATTTTTGAAAATCCAAGATGGCAGATTCAAGATGGTGGATGAAAATCATAGAATTAGCATATTTTTGGTTGGAAATTAGTACTCGGGGGTTTTCGAGGTCGCTGAGTTCGAATATACTACCAAAATTTCGTTTTTTCAAATCCAAGATGGCGAACGCCAGATAGCGAATTCAAAATGGTGGAGGATATTTTTTTGAAATCAATATTTCGCTCGAAAAATAGTAACTTGAAGGGTTTCCAAAACCCCCGAGAATGAGTTTTTTTTACCGAAAAGCAGTTGATTAATCTTGCTCTACCCAGGGTTATATGGGTTAGCCTGTTTAGGGGTTGGCAGGGGTGGTTTCTACCCGTAAGAGAGCATTTTGTAAATAGAAGCACGATGCTCACAATATTTTTTAGTGTTTTGTCATATTTCCAAGTTTGGTTTAAATTGGTGAGTGGCTCTTTAATATGGTTACTTGTTAGATAGCTTGGGCTGCATGGTGTGGTGCTTTTTAAATTCATAAAATTTGAAATTTTCAAATTTGTGTAACTTCGTGAAAAAAAAAGATATCCGAGCATACTCAACGGCATTTGAAAGAAGAAAACTCATACTTTAATTTGATGTATACAGTTTTTTGAAAAAAAATTTCTTTTCTTTGCTACATAACCTCAAATATAGGCAAAAATCGCGTTTTTTGCACTTTAAGGTTAGGATATCTCGAAAACCGGAGCCACCAGAGTAATTCTGACCTCGGATTCGGATTCAGCGCGCAAAAAACCTTCGGAAAACTATACTCGGGTTCTTGGTAAAATATTTTTGTCAAATTCTGTCGGCCTGTGTAATTATTTTACACGGTAAAAATTTCGTGGATAGTTGACAATGACCACATTAATCATCGTAACTATCATTAAAGTTAAGTATATCGAATGTTATTTATTATTAGACATTATATTGTTTAATAAAGAAATATAAAAACAAAAAAAACTATAAAATTATTAAAATCGAGTGATCGAAAAGCGTATTCTACCATATCAAAAAATAACAAAAACGATATATTGCAAGACTTTTTCATCGTAAAATAGTATTAATTTTCTATAAAATTAATGGATTCCTTTTTACAAAAAGATATGCAAGGGCGGGTTATCTTCGTCACCTACAGTACCATGGTCGATAACATGGAGACTGTATACATCTCCATGGTCGATAAGCTGCGCTCATATTGTAAGTCTTCTAGTGGTTCACTAGCTACCGAGCACGGCGCTAAAATCGGCTAATTCCCTCCGAGAAAAAGAGAAAGTTGCCTAGATAAATCGTCTCTGCCTCGCCTCCTGTATACAGTCTCCATGCATAGGAAAGAGCTCTTTGGGTGTACGGCGTACACACTGAAGTTCGTTGCACACTCGGAGCTGAGAGCTCTTTTTTTCCAAATTAAACTATCGAAACTTCACTATTTAACGTGATAAATACTATTTTATTACAGTAAGAATATTTTACAGTTAATCCCATTTGGTAATTTTCCAAAGTAAACTATCGAAACTCCACTATTTAATGTAATTATTACTATTTTATTACAGTAAGAATATTTTACAGTTAATCCCATTTGGTAACATGAAAAAAAATAAATACTCAATATTACTGCCTACTTATAATGAAATTGAAAATTTACCGATTATAACTTGGCTTATTATTAAATATATGAGTGAATTGTAAGTAAATAATACTATACCATACAAATTTGGTTATCCATGAATAATTATTAGTTGAATAAAATGAATAGGGAAATTCCTTATGAAATCATTATTATCGATGATGGTTCTCCTGATGGAACTTTAGATATGGCAAAAAAACTCCAAAACTTATATAGTAAAGATACTATAGTTTTGAGACCAAGAGAGAAAAAGCTAGGATTAGGTACAGCATATATGCATGGCATTAAACATGCCAAAGGTGATTTTATTCTTATAATGGATGCAGATTTATCACATCATGTAAGTATATAGCATAATAGTTCTTATAATATATTGTAACTTCAAAAATAAATACGAAACTTAAAAGACTTTGGTTTCCTTATAATTTCTGAACCGATTGCCATTTAAATATCCAAATATAAAAGGAAAATTAATTGAAGTATGTTTTAAAAAATAAGTTGAGGCAACCAGTCATTAATTAGTAATGAATTTTGAGTTTTCTTGATTATTGTAGAATTTGACTTCATTTCGATATTATCATGAAACTTTTAAATGTATTTTAATGTATTCTCAATAAACAAAAATTTTAATCACAAGTTTTATAAAATTGTCATTTCTATAACATCTTGGTTATAGAAATGTAGTATGTTATGTGTTTTTAAATATTTAATGAACAAAAATAATTTTTAGAAATGATTTATTTTGTTGGAATCTATGTACTAGATGAACATTTTTCACAAATTCTTTTTTTTTCATGATTTGACATCAGTTTTTTAAATTATAGTAGAAAAATTTTTGAACAATCTGATTTGTAAATATTTTTCTAAAAAAGTAATTGTTCAGAGGCAATTTTAATACCACTATTACTCTATTAGAAAATTACTATTAGAAAACTTAAGAAATTCATAGTTAGATCCTGGATGATCCTTTAATAAGTTTGATGACTAATGTTCTTATGAAACTAGTCTAATGTATTCTGTTTTAATTGTTAATGTAGCATATAAGCATGAAGTGAGTACAATCTATGAGGTATTCAATGTGGACACTTCTGTCTTATGTATGAAATTAAATTGAATCATATGGTATATTCTCAGTTGTAATTGTACTAACAATGAAAAAAGTATAATATGGTTAAAATCTGAGTTTAATTCAAAATGAAGATTAGATTTGTTCAGTTACTCTGTGGTTTTTCAATTCCAGATATATATAGAAACATAATAAAAAATACATTTCAAATACAGAATCCTTTTCTTTGTTAAAGTTAGCAAAATATAATTTGGCATTGAAAAAGAAATAAAGATAAAATGCTCCTGCTTTTTTATAAAAAAAAATTTATCATACATTTCAGAAAATGAATAATAGGTTCACTTTTGTTATAGAGGTATTGTTACTGGCATTTGAATATTAATAACAAATATTTTTTAAAGTGGATGAAAAATGAGTGACACTATTTAGCTAAAACAAGAATATTTTATGAGAATTAATTAATTTTTAAACTGTAAACATTACATACATATGTTCATAACTTTATTCAAATTAATAAACTGTCAAAATTTGTGTTTGTTTTTTAATACAGCAAATTTTTTTCCTTGAACCCTCACTGGAAATAAATATACAAATTATGTATAGAAAATGTATGAAATTTGTACAAGAATATATATACAAAATCTGTACGAAGCTTGTTCAATACTCATACAAAATTTGTACATATTATTTTAGAAAAGATGTACAAAATTTTTATAAATTTGGGACAAGTCTTATAATTCTACACTAAATTTGCATGAAATTGATACTCAATAATTGACTTTTTCTTAAACATTGAATAAATAAATAATACATGCATATTATGGATAAAATAACGTTAGCAGCTTTTATAGAAAATTAACTATGTCAGCAAATTCACAGAACTTTTAGATTTGCAATTGAAAAATAAATTTTCTTTTTGAGAGCACATTTTTCATATGTGAAATGCACATCACACCATCAAGACCTTACAAAAACTGCATTCATAATCGATTGTAACTTAGCTACATGGAGATTACAATTGAAAAATATCTTGAAATTTATGTAAAAATTTATTAATTAAACATTTAATAGCTCCTAATGAAGCTTTATTGAAATAGGATATAGACATAACAAAATACACTATATTTTGAAAATGCAACATTCATAGAACTAATTTTGAATATTATAACAATAAAAAATGAAAATATTTATGTGTTTCATAACTCAAATTATTTTCTTTTCTTAATAGCTACTTTTTTACAATTTATTTAACAATATTGTTATTTGGTTTTTATACTGTTGAACAAAAAATTTAGCAGGTTTCAAAGGGTAATAGTTACAAAGAGGCTTATCAATATATGTAGAACAAGATAAGTAGTTTAAAAATAAAGCATCTTTTTTGGAACTTCGTCAGATTATTTGATGAATTTTCATAGAGTTCAGTGCTGATTTCATGTCATCAGACAATAAATTATCAATATCAGTTATATCAGATTCTTTGACTAGAAATGTCTTAATCTTTTCGAATGATCTATTTACAAGGTCGACAACATGTTGTACACAAATCACATCATTACTGTATTGTACGGCCCAGTCACATAAGCTTTTTACGGTACCTACAATATTATTCGCACTTTTGTCGTGATCAGCAGTTGTAAAATTCTATGAAGCGTTCTTAAGATATAACTTTTTATAAAAATGCGCAACCAAATAGAAATTGGTTTTATTTTTGTATTAAGAAGACGACCCGTCACTCTGAATGTGTAAGCTTTTGAGTTTTGGTACAAATTTCTCGATTATTTTAATATTCAATATACCCACACAGAAACAGCATCGTCACAAAGGCATCGGAATTAGTACAGAATGACACACATTGTAACTTGTCATTTTTTGAATTAACATAAATAAATGCTCCTGTTTGCAGAGAAATTTGCTTCTTAGACGCCCCAAAATGAATTTGAGAACTATATTTGCCTACCTAATTTTCAGAAGTCGATGGTCGCTAAACGATCCACAGACCTGGTGCAGCATTCCAAAGAAGCGCTGAAATAGTACATTGCGATACAAGTGCGGGAAAGTAGATTCTAATCTCGTGTAGCGTTTACGGCCGAGCGAAGCGAGGGTGAAATGGTACACGAGACAAGAAACTCTTTCCCGAACATGTGCCGTACCGTATTTTTTGATACGACGTGTGAAAAGTGCGATTTTCAACGTACGTTTTTTGCCGAGCGTGCGGGAAAAACGCACTTTTCGCACGAAATGTCGAAAAAGAATTTTCTTTTACTATTACGCATATTAGAATATGTTTACAACAATTTTAAGAATATTCACATTGATATACTTGTGCGAAAATATCGTTAAACTGATGAAAAGCGTTTTAGAAATTATTCTTTTTAAAAACCACAAAAATAATCTAAAATAATGAGTATTGAACGATGGTCAATAAGAAAAATTGCAACTAATAATTTAACTTTATTGTTTTTATGCTTCCAACGATCAATCTTCTAAATCTTTTTCTTCGCGTGAATAATTTTGCGTGGAAAGTACACAAGCGATTAATATAAAAAAAATTTGCATATGTAACTTATATACATTGACGTTAATAATTTATGAATCGGCGACGATCATTCGTCTTCTTTCTGGTGATGTAAATTTTTAAAACTTGTTCCTCGTTCATTTGGCAAATAATCAAATGTGTTTGAACAAAATTTCATTTCCTTCTTCGACGTTCCTTTTATTTTTATTTACGTTCGTCGAGCGAAATGTAATGAGTTGAAAGAGTCGTCTCGCAGAGTAGTAGCAAAACTCGGAGATAGAAAGGAAAAATGGGTTATAACGGAGATGCGGCTCATGCGGAGAGGAATTAGCAGCACGTTACCAGGTCGTGGAAGGTTGTTCAGCATGATCACGGAAAGCGAAAGAATAAAGACGCCGGAATTAGGTGCAGAGAAATAACACAAAGGTATAAAAGAAAAGTAGAGTTTAGTAAGTTGAAAAAGCGAATACAAAAGTCGTAGTGCAAGAGTGAGAGATAATCAAGCGAGATCTAAGAGAGACAATCGATTTAGCAGGTACTTGTAGGTTGCGGATTTGCAGTAACCTCGGGTACAGATAAATACGGTGATCGCGTTACAGGTGCAGGAGAAACAAAATAAGTCCTCGGGGGAAATGCAGGCGGCAGTTGTTTCCAGCACACACAGTCACCTCATCACTGTGCAACAAATTACGGTTTTTTTTGTTTTTTTTTGTTGCAACAAATCGCGACCACACACGGCAATATATCCGTTAATCTACAATTGATAAGTACGTCGAAACACACAAAGGTCGATCGCTCAGTATCTCGGCAAAAGAGGGCCTGTTTGCGGCTCGAGAGCGTGGTCTGATTGATGGCTTAGTGACACGCGGCAGGACACTCTCCCCTCTCTCTCCTAATCATGGCGTCTTTCTCTGTCTCGTGCTCTCTCGCGGAAATTCGGAGCTCTCTCTCGCTTACCTTTAGCTGGAAAAAAAAGACGCGCGCGCGTGTGTGTGTATATGTATATATATATATATATATACTAGTGGGGCTTCGCCCCCCTACTCGCTCCGCTCGTCAACCCCCCAAAGGAGAGTTGAGTAAGATTGAGTTACATGTTGCAATTTAAAAAATAGGAACTGATAATATTATATTCAATGAATGATATTATTTCCACACCACCGTGGAGGTAAATATCATGGCGCGTTTATTTTTATAGTGGTATCCCCCGTAGGCCTAATCCACTGAAAATATTTTTCAATATATAAACTGTTCTATATTGAATACCTTGATTTATAAAACCTTTTTTTAAGTCGATAACTCACTATATTTGCTTATTGCGTATACATAATATGATAATATAATTTTTTTATTTGTCATATAGTGTCAATATTTTGACATATTTTCTTTTATCATATAGTATCGATACAGTACTACTTGTGGATTAATTAATTAATTATATTAACATTTCATCATTTGATAATTTCAAATATCAAAAAATATTTCTTCCTATACAACGTTTTGAATACAGTTATCATCATTTGAATTATTTTGAATATGAATTTTTTCACGGTTTCGACATCTACTTAATGCAACATATAATTGACCATGTGAAAACAATGGCTTATCAATATACAATCCTACTGAGTCAAAACTTTGTCCTTGTGCCTTATTAATTGTCATACAAAATGCTAAAACGATAGGGAACTGTTTACGGTATAAAATAAATGGTAACGTAGAATTTTCTCCAGTGTTCAATGTTATTTTTGGTATAAAAACT